TCATCGCACTGATTGAATATGTGGCTAGTCAACGCCATTTTGCCAGATGACCGTTAATCTCATGAGACGATTCGCCCGCTTTTTGACAGGCTTTTTTTTTTTTTTTAAAATTTGCTGGTTGTCTAGCCATCATCCTCACCAAAAATCCTGACTAGGAAATGGGTTAGTCGATCCGATCATGTGACATGTCGTACAGGGTTACATGGTAACAGTATAACACGCAGACTGAACTGATACAATTACGTACATACAGCTCACATAAAAATCACACAGACGACACACACAGCGTCAAAACAGACGACTATATTTTTACTACAGTCACTTCAAAAGTCGGCTGACTACAGCCAATATAATAGGCAACAGGTGGAGACGCGGTTCTAGAAAAATAAAATAATTGTTTTGTTTTCCACTGCACAGAAAGTCATTAGCTCTGAATCGGGCACAGCAAAATTGGAACAGTACGTAATAGATTAAATATTGAACAAAAAAGCTGAATTTCTTTTATATGAAATCATAGCTCTCCACAACTTATACTTATAACGTTTTCTGCTGACATCTCTGTTGCCTCAAGAATGCTCGTCATCTGATATTACATATGGTTCAATAATATTTTCCATGTTTCTAACGTTGGTTTGCTTTGTTTTACCGCATATCAACCTCAATAGGTTATTTAATGCCGACATTTTTTATGGCTGGTAATATATTTCCTTCAAAACTATATAGCTGGTAATTTTTTTTTTTTTTTTCAAAAATTCATTAATGGTAATATTTTTTTACAAAATGTATTGCTGGTAATATTATTATTCTTCAAAAATGTATTGCTGATAATAATGTATGGTTGATAATTATTTACAAAAATGTATGCTGGTAATAATTTTTCGTCAAAAAATGTATTGAAGGGGTTTAAACGCAGTTTTGGGATTAACTATTTTCCCATAGTTGGTACCCTAACAGGTGCTGCCATCCCGGGTCAGAGTGGATCTGGGAACACCAGCAATTAAGAGGCGGTTCCACGCTCCTCAAAACCTCCTGATCAGAGTCCTTGCTGTTGAACGTAGTTTATCGTCATACCCAGGACGCGGATGTAGTTTATCGTCATACCCAGGACGTGCTTGTTTCTAACGAAACTTTCCTATTTTATAATACCTAACTTAGTTTTTAAAAGCATCATTCGCAATCTCGATACAGCTTCGGATTTCTGTGTCACATTTTCCTTTGTCTTTGCATTTTGGGCTGTCCCTCTTGCTAATCACTATATATTCTGTATTACTAACTTGTCTGATCAGCCTGAAATAAAAAAAGAGCAGGCAAGCGAGTCGATAGAAACATAGATAGATATGAACAAAGTTAGACAGATACGAACAGAACGAGATAGACAGATATGAACAGACTGATATATATATATATATATATATATATATATATATGTGTGTGTGTGTGTGTAAACAGATTGATAGAGATAAATAGATCTGAACAGACTGAGATAGATAGATATAGACAGATACGAACAGAACGCGTATATATATATATATACATATACATACATATATATATATATATATATATATATATATATATATATATATATATATATATATAGAGAGAGAGAGAGAGAGAGAGAGAGAGAGAAACAAAACGAGATAGATAGATACAAACAGAAAGAGATAGATAAATATGAACAGACTGAAATATATATATATATATATATATATATATATATATATATATATATGTGTGTGTGTGTGTGTGTGTGTGTGTGTGTGTGTGTGAACAGACTAATATAGATAAATAGATCTGAACAGACTGAGATAGATATAGACAGATACGATCAGAACGCTATATATATATATATATATATATATATATATATATATATTACTTATTATAAAACGCAGATTGTGTGTGTGTGTGTGTGTCTGTACGTTTATATATTGGATCGGATTTCCTACATTTTTCAACCGATTTCAACAAAACTTCACAGGACTACGTAAAATTACCTTGCGGTTGTTCTAACAGCGCCCAAAATTGGAAAAACACAATTGTGTTTTTGTACGAAATCAATTTGAAAACACGATTAAGAGGCATCACGAAAATGAAAGGGGGACAACTCATATCGAGTTATACTTATTATAAAACCCAGGTTGTGTGTGTGTGTGTTCCTTTATATATGGGATCGGATTTCCTACATTTTTCAACCGATTTCAACAAAACTTCACTTTTTTTTTGGCAGGTGTGTTTCTTATTGTCTTGTACACTTTTTTCTTTATTTTTACATTCAGAATGCTTTAAAAATTCCATTTACAAGGCAATTGTTTATAATAAAATTCTGTTCAATCGGTAGACTCATGACGATTGAAAACAATGTTTTTGCTTGAGTTTGGGTGTGGGTTTGACCAATTCGTAAAAAAAACAACTAATTAAGACATGCGTGTCCATCAACCTTAAACAATAATCTTTGTCAATTTTATTTTTCCGTCTTTATGATGGTCGATACTGGATCTATCTCTTACTGTTACATCTCCGGGCAACGCCGGGCTCTACTGCTAGTATATAGATATAGATAGATAGATAGATAGATAGATACAAATGAAATAGATAGATAGATAGATAGATACGAACAGAAGGATATATATATATATATATATATATATATATATATATATATATATATAGATAGATAGATAGATAGGAAAAGACTGAAATATATATATATATATATATATATATATATATATATATATATATATATATATACTCACACACACACACACACACACATATATATATATATATGAACAGACTGATATAGATAAATAGATAGATATGAACAGTCTGTGATAGATATAGATAAACACGAACAGACAAGATAGATACGAACATAACGAGATAGATAGATAGATATTCTTCTATGTACTGCGAGTCTTGAGGACGTTGACGATAATGGTTCTCCACAATTTCCTGTCCTTTGTAGCTCTTAATAAATTTTGTCTTTTTGTTGTCTCTCCTAAACCTTGCCCTTCCATCCATTTACCTAAGCTCACTTGGTAGGTAATGTGTTGTTTCCCCCCCTCTCTCTCTCTTGCCTTCAATCTGTCTTGTGAGCATCAAATTTTCAAAGCCTTCTATCCTAATTATGCCCCCTAAAAGTTTCAACTGTCTCTTCTTTTTTGTTTTCAATGTCTCTAAAACTTCGTCATTGGTCATATATTCGGGCCATGGTATTCTCAGCATCCTTCTGTAGAATCAGATTTCTGGGGCTTCAAGTCTCTTCGTCATCTGTGATGAGATTGCTCTCCATTTGCTGCCATATACTCTTTGCTTTGTTCCTAATGAAATTTTCCTGTTTCTTAATACTTTGCTTAACTTTTGGAAGGCATCTTTCGCTATCCCAATGCATCTTTTAATTTCAGCATCGCACTTTCGTTCTTCTGTTAAAACACTTCCCAGATATTTAAGCTGTTCTGCTTGTTCGATTTTGCTGTTTAATTTGTAATTTGTATGTTGGGCTTTTTCTTTTTTTTCTAATAACCATACATTCTGTCTTCTTGCAGTTGTATGTTCATTGTATCAGAAATGCAATTTTGGCACAAGGTCGACGGGGAAGTGGGTTGAGAATGGTCGTCACTGTCTATCCTAAACCTACCTAATCTGATTCACGACTTATTTATTTAGTACAATTTACAGGAATTCCATTCATCCGACATATACCACAATACCACAACGCCAAATATTCACATAGATCCTGCTAAAACAACTATGACAAAAATTTCGTAATATATACAAATTTCTTCCTTTTTTTTCTGTTTTCTTATAAAAATCACTAAAAATATATAGCGTTGAAATGACGGGTGGAGGGTGAACCCAACAACGAGAATAAGTTACAATAAAATATTCATACTAAAAAATAAAATATGTTAGTAGAATCCGTCCACTCCACAGAAAAAATAAGAGTAGCCGCTGCATTCTGCTTAGAGGCAAAATCAAAATGATTTTCTAAGCGTAAGGCTGAAAGTTTGGAGCCCCCAATGAGGATCGAACTCACTACTCAGTCGTAATCGATCTAGTGAGATAACCTTGCCAATCATTACACAACACCAAATTGCTCTTAGATTTACTCAGCGTAGCTTAGATATGGCACTAGGCTGAATGTATAAAGCAACAAGTAGGGATCGAACTCACTAAGTCGTAGATCGAGTATGCTTGCTAACTACTACATCACGTTGAAGAATCCAAATGATTTCTAAGCCTAACTTTGATGTGGCACAAGGCTAAAACTGTGGAGCACCCAGCGAGAATTGAACTCACTCGTAATTGATTTAGCGAGACAAGCTTACTATCCATTACACCACGCTGAAATGTGCTCCTGTCATCTTGCAATTGATAATTAGTCCTTTCTTCTCGCTTTCCTTCAACTACCTTCTCTAGGATTTCCTATAGTTTCTTTTCTGTGACTGCTACCAACACTGTGTCATTTTCATATTTCATAGTGTTAAGATTGTGGTCGCCAAAAATAATATATCCTGTTCGGTCTTCTAATTTTCTCAGAATCGCCTCGCTGTATAGTTTGAATAAGTCCAGTGAGAACACATACTTATCTTACACTCCCTTCTATCTTATTTATATCTATTGAATTCATTTTACATCCTGACGCAGGTGGTTTCCTGCAAGTTCTGGATTATTCTAAAGCCCTTCCCAAAGATGTCAACGTTACCTAGCAGTTCCAGCAGTTGTTTGTGATTTGTTTGTAACAAACGCTTTTTTTCATCATCTATAAAACGCAGATACACCTCCTTCTGCATTTGTATTGATGGTTCTGACAACATTCTAAATATAAATATTACATTCCTTGTTCCAGTGACTTTAACAAACTCGCACTGTTCTTGTCCTATTTACAGTTTGATTCTGATTTGAGCTCTTTTAATCGGAATTCGGATGATTTTGTTATATGGCTTATTAGGCTGATTGTCCGATGGAGTTTACATTCGGTTTCACATGGTTTCTTAGCTAGTGATAGATAGATAGATAGATAGATATGAACAGGCTAAAATAGTTAGATAGATAGAATCAGCCTGAGATTGATATGAACAGGCTAAGAAAGATAGATAGATAGATAGATAGATCCAGAATGAGATAGATATGAAGAGGCTAAGATAGATAGATAGATAGATAGATAGATAGATAGATAGATCCAGATAGATAGATATGAACAGGCTAATATAGATACATAGATAGATAGATAGATAGATAGAACCAGACTGAGACAGATATGAGCCAGCTAAGATAGATAGATAGATAGATAGATAGAACCTGACTGAGATAGATAGATAGATAGATAGATAGATAGATAGATAGATAGATCCAGATTGAGATATATATGAATAGGTTAAAATAGATAGATAGAACCAGACTGAGTTAGATAGTAAGAGGCTAATATAGATAGGTAGATCAATCCAGACTGTGATAGATATGAACAGGCTAAAATAGATAGATAGATAGATAGATAGTTAGCTAGCTAGCTAGATATGAGCAGACAAAATGAAAATTTCATGTGTGCCCATTGAAGTGTTGTTTCTAAAGGAGTATCTTGTCGAAATGCTTGCATGCAATAAACTCCCAGAAGTGGCCATTGTTCAAATGCTTTCTTTCTTCGCTCTGTGTGGATTATTTGACTTGAATTGTGGAATATTGTTTATTTTTTCTTTTCGCTTTCTCCCTCAAAACTTCCCTTTCAAATCATCAGTTCTTGGTGACTTTTTCTCAATTTTTATCTTCTTTCTTGATTTCTATTTTCTTATTCCCTTTTTTCGTGTTCATTTTTCTTTTTTTCTCATTTTACTTTTAGATGATTGTCCCTTTCTTTTATTCATTCTTGCTTTCTTTCGTTTTCTTTTCATTTTACTTCTACTTCTTGTTCTTTTCTTTCTTTCAACTTTTTGTTCCCTTTTCTTTCTTTCTTGTTTACTCGTGTTTTTCATCTTCTCTATTTTTTCTCTTCTATTTCATTTTTTTCCTCTTTTTTTCTTAGTGTTTTCTTTTTCTACTGCTTTATCTCTCTTTTTAGTTTGTTTTTATCTTTCTTTCTTTGTTTATTTTTCATTTCCTCTTCTTTTTTTTTTCTTGTTTACTCGCGGTTTTATCTTCTCTTCTTTTTTCTATTCTTCTATTTCCTTTTTTTCTTTTTCCATTTATTGTGCTTTCTTTTTTTTTCTTTTTTTCTTTTTCTTGTGCCTTACCTCACTTTCTTTTTTAGTTTTCTTTTTTTCTGTCTTTCTTTCTTTTCACATTTCCTCTTCTTTCTTTTTTTCTTTATTTACCCGCGCTTTCTTTTATCGTCTCTTCTCTTTACTCCTCTTCTATTTAATTTTCTTTCTTTCTTTCTTTCTTTTGCTTGTACTTTCTTTCTTTTTTCTTTCTTTTTTTTTTCATTGCTTGCGCTTTCTTTCTTTTTCCTTTTCTTGTCTTTTATCTCACTTTCTTTTTTTAGTTTCATCTTTCTTCTTTCTTTTTCTTTCTTTCTTTCTTTCTTTCTTTCTTTCTTGTTTACTCAGCCTTTCTTTTCTCTTCTCTTCTTTTTCTTCTTCTATTTCATTTTCTTTCTGTCTTTTTTCCCTTCCCTGTACCCTATCGCTTTTTATTTTTAGTTTGCGTTTATCTTTCTTTGTTTCTATTTCTCTTTCCTTTTTTTTTCTCGGTTTCTTTCCTTTATCTATTTTTTCATTTACTTATTGCTTTCTAGTTATATATATATATATATATATATATATATATATATATATATATATATATATATATATATATATATATATATATATAAAGGGCCGTTTTTTTAATGCTAGTTCTAAATTTTAGTCACAAATCTCCCTAAAGAAAAAAAAAAAAATGAACAAGCAAAAAGAAGGAAAGAAAAAAATTATTTTCTTATTTTCTCTCTCTGGCAAATCATACAATGTAATGGTCCCGCCTGTCTCGTAAATCGTGAACTCTCTCTCTCTCTTTCTTTCTCTCCCTCTCATTTTCTCTTTCTCTCACTCTCTCTTTCTCTCTCACTCACTCTCTCGAGGTGGACATTTGTGGATCCAGCCACTAACCGCTCTCCATCGTGAGTTCACTTTCCCGCTATTTGCATACAAAGTAGGCAGAGAAAAATCGATCGACTTGCGCAATGCAAATATTACGCAATCGTGTTTCTGGAGAAGGAGGGAGTGACAGGGAGGGAGAGCAAGAGTGGAAGGGCGGGATCGGGGCAAAGGGGTCTCGTACAATGAACACAGAAATAAAGGCAGAAGAGAAAAAGAAATTTCTTAAGGAGATTTAGTGCTTAGACCAGCACGGTAAAAGTCGAAATAAATAGAGGGTCATCCGTAGATGCGGGCGACGAATTGGAGACGTCAAAACCAAGTGTACAGAAATTTAAATATCTGGCAAGTGTTATAAAAGACTACGGAAAATGTGACTCAGAAATCCGAAGACGCATTGGACTAGCGAAAGATGCCTTCCAAAACCTAAACAAAGAATTAAGAAATAGGAAAACTTTGTTAGGAACAAAGAAAAGAAAGCTGAACCTTTTTTCTTTTTCTTTTTTTAAGTCGAGTTCACCTCAAGCAAGGCGATAAAGCAACTGAGACGCAGCTGATTACTGGGCGTGGAAGAGTTAAAAACAGGAACATTGCTAAGGAGCGAGAACAAAAGAAGAGTAATCAGGAGGACACTAGATAGCGATTGACACTGCATTTAAATTTTTGCAGATTAAAGTTGGCTGGAAAGCATGGAGCCTGAAGGGTGTTCCACAAGCAAGAAGTGCGAGAAAAGAAACTGTTAGCATAGGACTTATGGCTACATCTAACCAACCCAAGTGTAAAATGAGATCTCAACGTCAGTCTAGTACTGCGCTTAAATTAAAAAAAATCAATGTACGATAGAAAGAAAGAAAAGAGCCTGGGTTAGCTTAAGAAAGTACCAGCAAATATCTAACATGGGAAGAGAATTGCAGGAATTCTTAAACAATAGAGGACAACGGGAAGAAATGACTATCAGTTGTAAGAAGACAGAATGTATGGTTGCTAGCAAAAGAGACAGCCCAGGATGCGAGCAAGTACACTGGGCTATGATAAGTTTTTAGCCATCCACGATTACAGCAATTTTGGCTTGTGTAATAACGTCTCTTCATTTTTTCCAGACAATACCATGTTGTATCAAGTCTATGAACAATAGTTGACTTATATTTTGCAATGAAAGCTCGTGAAGTAAGGAAATTAGTGAATTTCAACAAGGGCAAATAATAGGATGGCATCAGTGTGGCAAGTCAAATAGAGAAATTGCTAGTTTTTTCCTGGTTAATCATCAAATGGTTAATAATATAGTCAGGAAATTTAATGAAGAAGGCCATTGTCGTGTGGAACAACGTTCAGGAAGACCAAGCATCGTGTCTGAGCGAACGAAAAGGGCGCTGAAGAGGGAAGTCATCAGAAACCGTCGTCAGAGCGTCAAAGATGTCGCTAACAGCATAGAAATGTCGCCATATGTGGTGAGAAAGACCCTGAAAGATCTAGGCTATCAAAGAAGAGTTTCAAGGAAGAATCCTCTGATTTCAGAGGTTAACAGAAACAGGCGTATAGACTGGGCGAGAGAATTCGAGAGCAAAGGTTATGAATTTGGCAGTTTGTAATTTGGTCAGATGAAAGTAAATTCTTCCAATATTTGAATTCGAGACAAGTTTATGTTTGGAGAACTTAGAATGAGACCTGGAACTGTATGTCTGCAAGCGACATGGAGGGATTGGAGTAAAGGTGTGGGGCGCTGTCTCAAAGATGAAAGGTCATTGCAACAATTACCGTGAAAATATTTATAGAAAAGTCACAGTAAAGCTGCGCTACGACGACGGGAAAAAGTGATAGAAGCTGGTATGCCACATCAGGACAGACAATAATAAAGATTCTTTGGATCTTGTCGAGAATCTAGATACATACACAAAGCACCGGATCAGATGTGGTGTCGATTTTCTACATACAACGAGTGTAAGCATGAGCGATATCCTGCCCTTATCAGCCGTCAACCAGGGGAAGTAACACAATTTCGGTGGCAAAGGCGGTACTGCCACCCTTGGAGCCACCAGAATTTTTTTCCCACCAGACAGGGTCTTGTTTTTTGTGTAGACGTGTTAGTCTCCCACCATTCTTTTTTTGCATCTGCAAGTCAATACATGTCTGAATGGTAGGATTATAAATATGTAAGATATTTTCTGGTAACAGAATTTCTCTCGCAGCAGAAATGGCAACTAATTCGATATAATCGTTCTAATTCACATCAGCGGAAAACATTAGACCGAGAAGTCACAATGTTACTCTCATGGAGATTAGCATCAACATCAGCAATGTCGATGAAAGGCAAAACGGTTCTCTAAAACGATTAAAAAAGAAAAGTTTCATTTTAATGATTAGTGAATAAATTTTGTTTTTTAGGGTGCTCGGGTAATTCATTCTTGTGCCCAACGTGGTTTTTATTCGAAAAAAAAGACAGATGGACAGATGCACTCAAATGGCCTTTAAATTCTATGTATCGATATTTCATGTTCTGCACTTAGAAAAATCGATAATGATCTTTACACAAAGGGACAGCATTGAATTTGTTCGAGATGATTGTCAAAGAAATATGAAGGCAGAAATTCAGGAAAAAAAAACATTTTAATTAATGTCCAATAATGGTTCCTGCCAAGTATTTTTTTTTCATTGCTGCTTTCAAAATAAATATGAAATTAATAACATTGATTTGCAGACTTTGGACAATATGAAAAACATTAAAGAGGCGCCTAGAACTTTGCTTATTATATTTGAACACAAAATCGACCGATATCGATTTTTTGAACCCGCTAATACGCATGCGCGTGAGTGTGCTCAGTTCTAGTAAAGATATTTACCAAGTATGGCTTAGTTCGGTATGCAAAAAAATACTATTGAAAGGTGTCAGGACCGTCTTCATTTGAGAATTGTTTGCATGCTTCGAAACCCAATATTAATATTTTTTTAACATTTCACCAAAAACAAGGAAATAAAGCCACTAAGACGCAGGGTGGGGGAGTTACTTAGTTGAAGACTATGACAAAAAACATTAAGGAGTTTGAACAATAAAAGAAATGTATGAATCCTCTTCTTCATGGGGGTGGGGAGAAGAAGAGGATTCATATCATTGGGAAAGCTATGAATCCTCTTCTTCTCCCCCCACCAGCTATGTATAAATAGCAGGACAGACTGGGTTCTATAGCCTTGGATGGTAACTGGTCTACCGCAGAAAGATGTATCGAAAGATACATGATCGCCTCAGCGTGTATCACGCATGACACACAAGTGACTGATTGATGTGCTAATACTCTTGGGAAAAGGTATGAATCCTCTTCTTTTCCCCCCAACTATGTGCAAATAGCAGGAGAGACCGGGTTCTATAGTCTTGGATGGCAACTAGTCTACCGCAGAAAGAAATGGCAACCTACTGCGGGAAAAAAATCTGCCTCGTCAGTCATGTATCGAAAGATTGTCTAAGCGTGTATCACACATGGCACATAACTGACTAGATTGGCGGCACGGTCTCATATATTTTATAATCGAAATGGCTAGATGTAACCGCAAGTTCTAAGCTAATAGTATTTTTCTCGCACTTCTCGCTTGTGATACTTTCCTAGCTCCTTGCTTTCCAGACAAGATTGATTCTCAAAAATGTAAATAAAATGTCAACCATTATTTTCTGTCTTCTTAATTCCGTTTTTTATTTTTTATTTTCCAATTTAGTACTGTATTTAAATTCATAAAGTTTAGAAAGCATAGAGGAAAGTTCATCCGAAAAATTGCCATCAAAATATTTAAGAGAAAAGGTACAAGAAAGCAATATTACATCAGCGGGAAAGTGGCTGAAGCCGAGATGCCAGATCAGGACCGGTAACATTGTAAATTCTTTTGGGGATTTTATCAAGAATTTTATCAAGAATCTCTAAATATACAGCAGGAACACTGGACCATATTTAGTCAAAGAATCGGCGAATATAAATATCTAAGATAAATTCTGGAGAGAAAAACTATCTAGCACGACACAGGGAACCAACTTTCTTAGCAGCAGAGCTAGCCATGAATTCAATATAATCTTCCCACTTCATGTCAATCGAGAATGTTAGCTCGAAAAAGCGGAACGAGTCACTCTAATGAAGGTTAGCGTTAGCCATTCGGATGAGAGGCAGGAAGCAGTCATTCAGGTGATTATTTGTTATACCGGAACATACCTATTCTATTGTTAATAGACTCTCCCACAGATAATAAGTAGTAGCAGTCGCCAGTGGACTCAGTGGAGTTGAGTGAGTCAGTCGATGTCGGACATTGAAGTATCAACCACCACAACTAGATTGCTGCGTCATTAACTATTATTTCAAGTTTCTAACGTTTTGTACGTCGGACCATTTTAGGACCGACTTAGTGAAATACAAGCCCCCACTGTGAAAACTACTCTACAACACATTGGCGACGAGGGATTCGTTTCTCATACGGAAGAAAAAAAATTTTCGTTCACTCTATAACAAATTTGGCGACCAGAATTCGAAATTCATACGGAAAAAAAATAATTCGTTTCGCCATATATAACGCTTGGCGACGAACGTATTCGAATTCAAACGGAGGAAAAAGAAAGAAAAAAACTTTTCGTTTACTCTACAACATTATTAAAAAGAAGTTTTGTTTTGGAGGCGTCAGAATTAAGAAGCCATTCATTGTCCCAATTAACAACAGACTGTGGGTCCTTTTTTTTTTAGATGAGCTGCTAAGTTGACCTTATCGAACTGATCAGACATACGAATGAGACAGGAGTAAATGGTTGTGTCATTAGCATAGATATCAAGTTGATAAATATTGTCATCAGGAAGGAGAGAGATGTTGGAAGGTGGTGAATAATTCGTCACCCACAAGGGCTCGGAGACGCTTTTAGGGAAAAGCATGGCAACAGTACAGAATGTTTGGCCTGACCTGGCTCTTGTAACGGTAGGGGATAGCATGAAGAGTCAGGTACTTACTGAAGCGGCACAGGGAGCCGACCATTTTATCTGCATCTTTATCAGATAAAATGTATTGCTGATCATGTTGTTTTAAAATGTACTGTTGCTAATTTTATTATAAATAGATATTGTTGCTAATTTTTTTTTATATATATATAAAAATGTATTGCTGGTATTTTTTACTACAAAAATGTATTGCTGGTATTTTTACTATAAAAGTGTTTTGTT